CGTTTCATTTAATTTTCATCGAAATATGTGCAGAGTTTGCGAATAATAGAAATCATAGGAAAACGGAATGGGGAAACTCCATATTTTATGCGACGGCTCCCGCAAGCGGACAGCGGACAGTACTTATACATATATGTATATGTATATACCCAATATTCTTTGAGTACCGAATGATGGGTACATCTTCACTCCACAAGCTAAATAAATGTTACTTCAATGAAGACTTAGAGGCAGACTTGCAGCGAAAAGTTGGCTACAAGCTACTGCCCCTATGACAACCTTATGTTGGCGAAAACTGGACGTTTTAATGGAAATGGTACAGGGAAAGTCGGGGTAAATGGCATAAACGAATCAGCAATATAATATTGAAGAGGAAATACTTAACGGGTGCACTTTTGCAGCTCTGTCCACTCGAATACTGATTCACCTCTCTCTCTTCCGCACCCAAAAGCAGACGAAGGGGAGCGAGGAGGTGCACCAACGCATAACACCCTTCTTCTCGCTTTACAAGGGCACTTAAGCAAGTGCTCTTCTTGCTCCTTGCTCTTCCTCTTACTCGACATTTTTTTTTATTCTACTTGAGAGGAATGAGAGTGGAAGTTGGCGCTCACTTTGCACTCCTGCTCTTTTATGAAGTTTTTTTTTTATATTTTATAGCTGTTCTTTGCCTTTTTTTCATTTTTAAGAAAACGAGCGAAGCTTAATTGATTTTGCATTCTCTATGTAATGTTTATCAAATATGAAAGAGTTTTACGCAAAAATTTCCTTTGATGCTGGCCACTCACTCTCCAGCACTCACTCACTCTCTTTAACTAATGAAAATGCAGCACGTCAAAAAGATAAGACCAAGTGAAAATAGTCGAAAGAGTGGCAGCACAACAAGAAGAGCATCCCCAAGCACAAAGCGAGGGTACAAAAGGTAATATGACAGTCAGAGCTTAACGTTTTGAAGTTTGCATAGCAACGAATTCAAATATTAGCAGAGATCCCTCCCCAAAATGTAACAGAAAAGAGGACTTCTTTCAATGACGGACCACCTATTAAACCCTTATAAATAAATCGTTCGCAAGAGAGCTAAGTGAGCATGAATAATAAAAAATAAAACCACATACTCGGTTAATCGTACGAGTGCCCAGAGTCGCCTTATTATGTTATATAATAGAGAGATATGCGACAGGGCGATAGAAGTACATTGAGCGTACTCTTTTGCCTGTCACTGTAGACGAGTGATAAAGAAAGCTCATCTGCATCAAGTGCGTTTGCAGCGTAAAAAAGAAATGAAATCGTGCGAAGTGTCTGTAAACATTTATTTCAAAAATTTATAAATATTGTTCTCGCTCAGCAGAGACAGCAGCGGCGACAAACAGCAGTTCTCGTCTCTCCCGAACCCCTTGTCAACCTTCTTCCTCTACCCCACTGCCACAGTTCTTTTCAGCTTTGAAATTGTTCTGGCAATGCCATTGTCTACTTGTTTTTCTCTGTGTACGTAGTTACATACATATGTGCATGAATAGGTTTGGGCATGTGTGTGTGATATATTGTTTCGAGACATGATGCTTTTATTTGTATTTTTTGCACTATATCTACCCAGCGAAAATGCATTGGGTTCTAACATTGTTGGTTTGCCGGGGCATGTACGACAGATATCCGCTACTACTTACACCAACGTTTTAGAAAAAAAATATATGGGACTAAAATTGTATCATATGTGGACCGTTTTAAGAAGCAAGCCAATTGCCTGACAATTTCTGAGAAGGTAACTGCAAGAAGAACCAGTAGACCACATGATATATGTATGTACATTAGCACATTTTAATGTAAGCGATTAATAAACATTAAAGCGGTAGAATGCTCATTACTCTCATACTCCCATGATATAAACTTTAATTTTTTCACAAAGATGATTACAAGCTACTTTTTCAATTCACTTCCCCAATTTTTACTGTCTCTGCTTCTGTTCCACTATGGCAACAGGATTTAAAGAATAATAATTCGAATGATGTTTGTTCGATAAGCTTTTTTATAATTATAATTATAGAAACAACTTTCGAAAAACCGGATTACCTAAAATATTTCCATATTCAATGGGCAGTAATTTGTACTCAGAAGATTGTCAGTGGAATGGGATGGGATGGAATGGCATGGGGTGCCACGGTAGAGTATTGAATTCGAGGAAGAATAATTTTACTTTAGATCCGCTTTTATGTGTGAATGTAAACGTGTTGTTAGTGGAACTTGGCTATAAGCCAACATAGCCACGTCTTAATTCTGATAGCGATGTTCTTCCCCACTACACCTACTACGTCGTAATGCGTATGGGTTCATATGTGTTTTGTTCCTGTTTTACCCCTTCCCTCGTGGACGCACTTTATTTTTTATTTTTGTTGCGTAGCGCAATACAACTGTCACACACACTCCCACAGCAGCACATATGTACAGCCACATGTCTGGAGATGTACACGACCATTAGTCTTCTCTTGTCGTCACCATGCACAAAAAAGTGGTCGTTTCTGGTTCTGGTTTCTCGCCCTACTCTACTTTACTTGGATCCCTGCCCTCGGGTTATATTATTCTCCGTCTGGCAACATTCACCACGGTATTTTTGGTTTGGTGAAACTTTAGTTCGTCCATTAAGATAGTATTATGAAGTACGTTCTACCGTGGCCCCATTATCCTATCCACACTTTTGACCTCTTTGTTGTTATTTAATTATAATTTTTATACCCGGTACTCGAAGAGTTAAGGGGCGTTTTGGATTTGTGGTCGAAGTGGATGGATTTTCACTCTCTTCCAACTTGGATAGCTTTCCTCCTTAAGATTCAGCTTGCTGTTTCAATGTACATATGATCATCCTTTCCCCGATTATCATCATCGGCACATTCTACTTGGCTTAATGCACTATTTTGAGAACTTGACAATTTCATATCCATCTTCATATTCCATCTCCTTGTGTCTCATCCCAGCAGTTAATTTCATTGCACTTTAATAATTTATGGCCATATATACATATCCACAGATACATATATCTATGTACATCCACATATCATTATTCAAATTACACAAAATGTTCAAAAGAGAAAAGTTGAAATTGTAGACGATTTTCGTAGTGAAAATATTGAGAAGGAGAAAGAGAGATTCGGGAAAATGGCTTTATTTAAATTTCACATACGCCCAGTAGACCAAATGAAACCCAATTGCCACCTTACCTCACAAACTCTTAAGGCACTCTCAGGCTGACAACCTTTCCTCTCTCCCCTTTTCACTTTTGCTGCGTTTTCCGACCAGTTCGCAAGTGTTATGCTTAAAAATATGTAAAATATCAAGTGAATAAATTAAAATCAAAAGGAAACAACAAAATGTCAACTAAAATTAATTTTTGACGCACACACACTCACCCATATATTGAATGAAAGCGTTGTTGAAAACCCTTTAATTTCCCTTCGCTTTCGAACATTCAAATAAGATTATTTAATTCCAAGGAAATTCGAAACGTAGCTTATTCAACTTCTTTCATGCCACTGTATCTAAATGTCCCACACTCCCCTCTCACTAGCCCATGCTCCCTCTCTCTCACACAGCGGGTAGGTGTGTGTGTATGCTTATGACTTTGTCTGTATTTGTGGAAAGAGGCAACAAGCCAAGTTAATTAGCAAAAAGCAGATAACGTCACACAAAAAAGGAGCAACGCAACCATCTAAGGCCATCCAAAGGTCTGATTGGAAGGGTGGCGTAAGAGCCCTGAAGGGTCTGGATTCTGGTTAGGACCTCCACTTAAGAGCGGGTTTTTGATGTCAGCGCAAATTGCAAAGAAAATGATTTATTATCTGCAAAAGGCAATTAAGTAAAATTGCTTGGATATTATTTGAAAGAGACAAACAAGTGTACTCGTATACACAAATGGCAGAAACGGAAGGGATGCTGAATTAGTGGAACTCCTGGATTGAATTTATGGCAAACAAGGCGCTTCCAGGTTTCAAACACTTGTTAAAAACTCAACCTGAAGGCCTTAATTAAACTCAATTAAACATGTCTTTGTTCCATTAACCCAGTCGAGTTTATATTTTTGAAGTCTAAATTAATTTCAGTCTATTTTTGGTCATAATATTCCTGTCCTGTCCAACCCCAAATGATTTCTGCTAGTTTCAGGACAGTAGACTTCAGACGAGACCTAGTCATCCTGAAGCTGACGACTCTTTGAAGGCTCCCCGAAGAACTAGAGAGAAAAAGACCCCGCAGAAATCGGCTAAAAGTAGTTTATACCAGGTATACATATGTGGGTAACAGCTGTATTCCAAGTACTTTATCAGAGCTATATATGTATTTTACATATATATGTGCGAGTATGTACATATGCACATACATACATATATGTTATTTTAACGAAATATGTAGTGCTCCATACCCTTTGGCCTTTTAATTCCACATTTCCACAATTCCACAAACGAGAGAAAATCAATTACAAATTCAAGCCCAAAGATATAATTAATTAATAATAATTTAATTTTCTATCTTCAAACTCGACAGGAGTCTAAACTCCAGCCAACCATTTCGTTGACATGCAAAGAAATGGGTGAATAAATAATTATTCTTCCATTTATAAAAACTGAATATGAACGAACACGAATACTTACGTATTATTATACGTACAAAAAAAATTAGAAAAGGCACACCCCTAATTCATTTGATACTGAACAGTACTATATATTATGGTGACTTATGTAGAAACTGTTTCGTAGATACATTTATGTATACTAACATATAAGCACTCGTATACATATAATAAATTTAAAATCTTTATAAAGCTCTACTGCCAGGTAGCCTGATTAAATACATAGAATTTGCTTCATTGTGGGATTTCTATGCCCGGATAATCAATTACTTGTTCGTAGATTTTAACTTAAGGAACGGAATACTCTCAAAGATATATTACCAAAGTTTTTATATGTGCCGTACCTTCTTATGTTTATGTAACAGGTCTAAAAGATTTGGCTAGAACTCACCTTTTACTAGCGTACTTTCACTGTCTCACTCCCGGTTCCACTGTATGCTGCGGTTAGCTGCGCTAAAGAGCTCGGCCAGGAATCTAGATTTTAAAGCTCACACACTGAAAACTTCACTCAGAAACGGATTTGGATGAAGTTCTGTTGGCGTTTATTTTAAATTTGGAATGAAAAACTTGTTGCTCAATTACCAAAATCTCGCCTTCTAAATGCTCCAAGTTCAATATCTTGGATTAGCACAAAAACAAAAAACAATTTTTAGTTGCTTCAACGCATTCAGCTGATTTCGTTACACAGTAGATTTCAGAGATTTTTTAAATTTCCCACGCTTACGCGCAAAAAAAAAATTTCTTCCCTGGGGCTTGGGCTGCTCCGTCAAAATCCGTCAAAAGTAGCACTGCGACTTAGAGGTGTGTCAAAGGTGTCAAACCATATATTTACTGCTAGCCTCTACTATCGACGGTTTTGCGACTATCATGATAGTATCGAGCTACAGTCGTTGCGCTTTTGATATGTTTGGATTGGTATTTTTTTGATTTTGATATTCCGTTTAATATTAATAGCTAGCTGGGACACTCAGCCCTAAAAAAATAATTTTATCCGATAGATACATAAATTTTCTACAAGATTGGCAGTTTTTCAGAAGTCCTTTTTATTGGATTATTTACATATTAAGGTTCAAACAAAATCAACATAAAACGAATGTGACGTTGTTTTGTGGCGCTGCCAGACTCGTGCAATTCGTAATTGCTGCGGGCTGCCATACCATGATATTTTGTGATATTAAATTCGTCAATTTTGATATTCAGTTTAATATTACTAGATAGTTGGTCCTCTCAGCCCTAAAAAAATTATTTTATCCAATTCCTCAATGAATTTTGTTTAGGATTGGCTAGTTTTCAGAACTATTTTTAATGGGATTGTTTAGATAATAGGGTTCAAACAAAAACGGCCAAAGCATAAAACGTAAATGTTGACTAAATGTGACGTCAGTGTTGCTGGTCAACAAAGTTTCTTCTATGCGTATGTACTTTTGTATACCTTATTTCTTTTAATTGGTGTTAAATGTTTTGTTACAAGCTCCATTAAGACATTATTTATGATTTTATCCTAGATTGACATGTTTGAAAATTATGAACAACTTCAAGGAAGACGACGGGAAAATGGACGAAAGAGAATTGATGTTCATGTTCATTATTTATTTTCAGACATTTCTTTTCAGACGCATGACGAAGCCCCAGTGCAAACAGCCTATAAAACGTAGCAGGAGAATGTCTGTGTGAACGAGCAGAGTATTGTGTATGGTACACCTAGTTTTTAAGAAATTTGCAAATCTGAAAAGCTAATGAATGCAGCTATCAATCGGACTTAAAAACTTTGTAGCTTGCCGAAATTGATCATTTTTAATTTAAAAAAGCTCGAAATAAGTTAATATCTTGTTTTATATTTAGTTAGTATTGGCGCGAAATCGATTATAAAAAATCAATGCATAAACGGCTAAGCTGCAGACGTTTGATAAAACCTCTAAAAATCCCATTTTACCGTTAACTAGCGATCCTCAGCGAATGGCAACACATTTATTACGGTTCCATCTATTAGCACCATTTCAGCCTACTTCTCTAAAATTCGCCTCCATATAGAAGCTGGGCAGTGATACAAATATATTTCTATATATTTATAAAATATATCTTTGAGCTGTGTGTGGATATAACAATATGCTGCCACTAATGTTTGTACGTATGTATGTGTACATATCATAGAACTAGCATCTTTGATAAAACTCTGAAGCTAATCGTATTGTATGTGTAAATATGAACATTAGTAATCGCAGATTAGCTTATTGGAATATCTCGACCTTCAACATATTTCAAAAATGGAAAAAACGGAATAAAAATTGCATGTTTTTTTGCTTTTAATTTTTGTAGAAAGTTTCTTTATATTCATTCGTCGAATAAAACCCACTTCTCTGTATACAAAAAAAAACACTTCAACTTATTTCGTTTTAGCAGAAACAAATCGACAAATCGAAGCAGAAAAAGAACAAACAATTAATCATAATAAGGGCTAAATTTATCGTACAATTGGAAGTTTTCTATTTATTCTTCAATTTTTCCTTCTCATTTTGTTAGTTTTCTTATAGTTTTACTTAAACTTTGCTCTCCCCTACAATCATTCTCTAACTTTCTATCTGTACCTCTCTAGCGTGTCTTCTACAAACGAAGACAATTCACAAGAAATGTATTTAAACACTTTATTTAAGTTTTCCTTTCTCTTGTTCCTGCGGTTGTTGGAGTATGTGCAAATAGTTTGGGAATAATCAAATTCACTTTGTGGAAATTCTAGGCAAATCATGGACTGTTTTCATTTTGCTGTTGTGGCTTTTTTTATGGGTTAACACTAACAATCTCGCGATAAACGAAAAAAAAAAAATTATGATATTTCTATATATGATCGAAAATGATATATGTATATCTCTACTCGTAAATATTTTGGAAACTTAATGCTTCGCTCCCTACAGAATGAAATGGGTGGTTGTTTGCTGGTGTTGTTGCAGTTGGGGTTGTTGGTTGTACTCTGTTGTTCTGTCCTGGAGCCCAGTCTTTGCATTTAGTCATCGCCCGCGGAACGCTTCACCTTGCGCTGCTTGGGACTTTGGTGGCTGGCAGCCTTGGGACTGACCTGCTTGCCTGGCTTGGGTGAGGTCTTTGGCGTCTTCGACTTGGGAGGCGATTTCTCTGTGGAACAAAACATTAACATCTGCAAGAGGAGGGATGTCTATCAATCGAAACTTACGCAAAGCACGCAGCGTCTCCTGCGGGACCCAATCGTAGTCGACGGTGCTGTCGTTGGCTGTGCCAGTTTCAATGACCTTCTTGGCAGCGGCACGCTTGCGCTTGCCTGAGCTGCCCAGCAAATACTGCTGGCCAATTACCAAGAGCAGGACTACAATGCCGGCCAGGAGGACGTACAAGAAGAAAGTCTCGCCATCGAGTCCTTCATCAACCTCAGAGATAAGAACGGTCTCGTTGAAGACAGCCTCGTTGTACTGAATGCCATTGGCATCACGATAGGCCAGGGCAATGTTCAGTCCGAATGGACGTCCAGCAAACTGATCAGATGGCAGGAACGTGTACGAAACGGTCGACTCAAAGCCGGGCTTCACCTCACGATTGTAGGCCACCGCCGAGAAGTTCTGGATGAAGTAGTTGAAGTCCATGGGATAACGGAAAGAGGCCTCGACAGTCTCGATCACAAACTCCTCGGAGCCTTTGTTGGTGAAGCCGATCAGGAATTCCACGGGCTTGCCACCGGGCAGATCCAGCTGCTGACCGGCCGTGTACAGAGGTTTGGTGAACAGCAGATAGGTGTCCGCGTTGGGCGAGGCGCTGCTCGCCTTGTCCGTGTCCTCGTCGGCATCGGCATCTTCACCAGTCACGGCTCCCTCTTCGCTGTCCACATCAACCAGATCGTCCTCAACAGCTTCGGCGGCATAGGCTCCAAATTTGTTTGCTATCCAAGGAAGAGAGAGGCATACATGCAGCACATGAGTACGAGTGAGAGGGAGATATGCTGAGACTATTGGGGGATGACAATGCCAACTCAACAGTTTTGATGGCCATGGCCCAAGGAAGGTCAAAATAAGAAACGACTTGGTCACATCTTCAAATGGAGCTGCTACAATTCAGGTATTAACCCAGGCAGCCCACCTAGCAGCGGCAGCAGCAATGCCACGTATGCGCCCCCGGCCCTTCGGTCTATAGGTGGCTGCAGCTCAATGGCCGGGATTTGTGTACTTACGTGCTGAGAAAGTGCATATGACGATGGGAAGTACCATCAGCATTAAGAACATCAGATTCTTCATGGTTTATTTGATGCTTTTCACTTATGCTCGAGAGAAACGGAAATATAAAGGCCAGAAAATGAAAACGACACTGTCGCTCGCTCACACACAACCGTCGTGCTGAAGGAAAATTGGCAGAGTGATAAAGTGATGGTAAGCAACAAGCCGAAGGCAGCACACGAAGCCTTACGACTTTCACTGTCAAATGTCTACGTGGTGCCACGTCTAGGGTTGCCAGCCATTCCTGCCGATTGCCGCCAATGTTTTGATTTGCGGTATATATATTTTTTAATAGCTCTGCTATTGATTTTAATTCACTCAAACATTTATTAAATACATTTTTTTAGTAGTTTGACACATTTTATTCAACTATTAAAGGCAAATGTCGACAGAAGTATTTCATTTTTTACATGTGCGACAGCTCTTAACCAATAACAGTGCTGTAAAACACTCTAGCTGTCAAAATATTCTGAAATGTACCATAAGTTACTTAACAACAATTAAATCCGTCTTACAAAGTCAATGTAAATTTATATTAAACATAAATTCGTAAGTATCTCGAAATTGTGTCAATCTTTAGTTGATTTTACCTTAACCAACGGCCTTGCACAGCACTGCCTAACTTATCGCTTATCGCAACGCAGCGCAACCAGCTTCACGTACTTGGGCCGATAACCACCCTACTTCCTTTTTGCTTGCGACTGCCAATTGAAGCGCAACCTACACGTGAATTCTCTTCGGCGAATCTACAAAATTCAACAATAACCATGGACAAACCAGTTGTTTGGGCTCGCGTGATGAAAGTTCTCGGCCGCACCGGTTCTCAGGGCCAGTGTACACAGGTCAAAGTGGAGTTCCTTGGCGAGCAGAACCGTCAGATTATCCGCAACGTGAAGGGACCCGTCCGCGAGGGCGACATCCTCACCCTTTTGGAGTCTGAACGTGAAGCCAGAAGACTTCGCTAAGAAAGCACCGCCGCCGGATGTTGTGGAGTGCTTGATATATTTCTTTAAAGGTAAGTTCGAGCTTCGTGGATACCCCCAAAACCACCATTAATTACATTTTCCCGCTCTTTACAGATGCTTTTTCTCACATTGCTTGCACGAGGCGTGCGACTCCACAACAACGCGTCAATTGCACCAAAACTAGTAGCAAACAAAATGAATCGGCCAAAATTCGCAACAAATGTGGAAATGTGTTCTAAATAAATAAATTTCGAGTATTCCAGTGCTGAGAAAAAAAAACCAAACTGTTTTGCATTTGGATTTATTTATACTTTTTTTGTTTTTGTTTTGTGTTTTGTGAAAATGAAAATCCGGCTACATGTCCAAAGCCAAAGAGAGGGCTGGAGCCAGCCACATCGTGATCACAAAAGGTCACCCAAAATGTGCCTAGCTTTAAATACTTGGCTATAGAAAATTCAATCTGGCATGACCTCGACGGTCTTGCCCCGAAAGACGTGTATGGAGGCCGGCCCACCCCTGGGATGATTTATTCAACTAATGGTTATTCGTATGAAAATATATTTGATTGACTGGCGTAAATATACAGAATTCTCTGTCTCGTGTTTTAATAAGTCAGCAGCGGGACGACCGCCTGTTGCTCGGCTCTGGCCAGGCCCATGCAAAGCAAAGCCTCTGTGTTCTCGCCCAGCTTTAAATTAGTTTTAAACTCGTCCACCGTCTGCTGCTGCATAATTGGTGGCAATAACAGGCGGGAAGCAATCTCCAGGCACTTGAGTTGAGATTGCAGACTGTGCAGAGATTCATTCAGCCATTCCCGGCATTCGGCCACAGAGTTGGGACAAGGCTCTGGCTCTAGCTCGCTGCTTAAGCAAATGCATTCCATGTCAAAGTCAGCCACATCGCTGGAAATTGCATCTAACATTTCGTTCATTTGCAATCTGCATACAGACAAAAATGAAATCAAACGGATTCTATAAGCTTCTAGCAAAGTCTGCTGTCTGCTGTCTGCTACTCACATGCTATGGCAAATGGACTGATGAGCATCTTGGCATTCGGAGAGTAGGGCCGTCGCACAGCGCTTGTCAGTGCTGTGGCTAAGAAATGTACGATTAAAGCTATGGGGCTATTTTGGATGGAAAAAACGTACCTGGCCACCAGACGGTAGCGTTGGCTTCTGTCCCACAGGTGATTTACGGGAGCCAGCAAATGTTGTGCCTGGGTGGACAGGAATCCATGATAGCTTCGTATGTTGGATGCTGTGTTCTGTAGGAGGTGGCCAAGGCGTGTATTATAATGTATATGGCGTTCATTGGTCAATAAGGGCATCTCGCCAATTTGTAAATATGTGATTTGTGAAAAATGCTTTTGTTTTTATATGTGTTTATGGTGGATAGCCGCAGGTTTAAGTGTGGCAGTAGCCATCGATTTATAGCTATCGGGACAAATAAATACCGAACAAATATAGTTTTTCCCATAAAGCCATCTCTATTTTTCCAGCTGGTCAGTTAGCAAAGTCTAATGTCATATGGCTATAAATGAAGTTAAAATGTTTATTCAAAAGAATTATATTGGAAGTTGTCTAAACTAAATAATATAGAATTTTCAAAATCGTTCCCTAGGAAATATTTTTTGCGTGGTTCGGTATTTTCTTGGTTTGCAGATGCAGTCACTCTAAACAGCTGTAATAAGGTTATTTAATAAAAAAAATATATTAATGCAGTTTTCGCAAATTTATCAGAGAAACTAGCAGCTAAGATGGTTTTCATGCGTGTGGGCAGCCGTGTGACGGCACTAGGACAGAAATTGGGTGAGAAATTCGTGCTGCCCGAGCGTTTCAAAGACACTTTTGTCGAGAAATGGGTGAAATACTGGAACGGCCTGGTGCGCGACTATTCGGAGGTGGCCATCGGTGTGGTTAAGGAGACATATACCAAGCCAAAGAAGGCACTTGCCTACGGCACTGGAATTCTGTGTATGTACAAAGCGGCCCAGCTTAACCCCGACGACGAGGTCTTCATGACTCTGCTACGCCGTCAGACCAATCGCATGATCATGGTGGCGCCCGAACTACAGAATAGCGTGTCGGCCGAGTATCTGCTTATGCTAGAGCGTGCCATCAACCAAAAGAAGCTGCGCTTTCTCTCGCTAGGCATCTGTACGCTGGTCTGGGTGGATCTTTACGACGAGGACGACTGCACATATCCGGCCATCTGCGAGTTCACCAAAGTCGGATACCTGAACTTCCACGAGCGCGTGATCGATTTGGGCTTCTGCAACGAGTTCTGGCGCCTCAAGTGGAAGATGCGCAACTACGATGTCAACTACCTGTGATGATGGAGGGAGAATTGCAGTTTCCTGTACGACGTCTGGTTAGTTAGCTTTAATATGAAATTGTTCGTTGCTTTGTAGAACTGACTAAATGAGCATTTATGAAAGAATAAATACATGTTACAAAGCAAAGAATCTGTGGGTTTACGAGCCACTGACTGGTTTCGGTTCTATCGGTTTCTTTGGCTTGAAGTGACTCTCGAGCAACTCAATACATTCCGGCAGCTTGGTCAGATTGTTGATCTTGCCCTGGAAACTGCCCTCCTTCCCATTGCCCTTGCCCTCGAGCAGCTCGAGAAATTTTGGTCCAATCTCCTGTACCAGCGCGGGCTCACCGCGCAGCACCAGGTGACCTTTTGCACTGCTGCCGGCTGCAACGCCCTCTGACACTGTGAGGAAGTAGAATATCTCTTCGGGCGCGTGTCGTAGAAACGTGTGAATGAAGTCAACCTCAATGCCGTCCCGACGATGAAGGGAAAAGTACTTGGGACGCTCGGCCATGCTCAGATCGTCTAGTCGCTCCGCCTCGACAGTAGCAAAATCCTTGAGCAGTTGCAAGAACGACTTCCGAGTGGCCTTCACATTCTGCTGCAGCTTCTGTGCAAGCTCCAAATGCTGCTGAGCGCCACCCCTGAAAAGGCGGTGTCGATGAAAATGGATGGAATTCAGAAGTATGGCAATACCGCTTACTTCAGGGTTGCAGTTAGTTGCTGCTCCCTCTGAAAGACTTCGCCAAGCTTACGCAGCACTCGCTCACCAACCACGAAGTTGACCAGGACATTGGTCTTGACCTTTTCCGCAAAGAGCAGTTTGATGCACTGCAGCTGGGATAGGTCGGTGACGTGGGTGCCGCAGCACATGTTGCTCTCAATGCCCTCGATGCGCACCACCCTTGCTAGGCCCTCGTGGTCCTTGGGTAGGCCGCGAGGAGCACGCGCATCCTGAAACTCCTGATCCACCTCGGGATCGACAAGCACCACGCTGACCGGTCGTCCCTCGCGGATCAATTCGTTGGCCTGCCGCTCGATTAGGTCCAGGGACTCGCGGCTGATCAGGTGCGGCGTATTCAGCTGAATGTAGGAGACGTTCGACCCAAGCGACCAGGAAGTAGTGTCGTACTTGAACTCGCGATCGAACAGAGCCGTGATCAGATGCTGGCCGGAATGTTGCTGCATGTGGTCGAGACGGCGATCCCAGTCAAGGCTCTGGTGCACCTCGGCTCCCTCCTCGAAACTTGTGCCAGACTCCACGAAGTGCACTGCAGTGTTTCCCTTCCTCAGCACACTCCGCACTGGCATTCCATTAATAGTGCCGTAATCACAGGGCTGTCCACCACCTTCGGGGAAGAGTATGGTGTCCTCGCACACAACATTGAAGCCACGAACTGGACAGACATCACCACCTGTTGCTATGTCCACATCGGTGGCCACCCGATCTTGGGTGGCATACTCGCATGATACAATTTTTGTGGTGTACTGTGGAAATACGGTTGCAATTATATAATTGATCCCTATAGGCAATGGATCGGGCTTGCCTGCTTCAAAAAGCTGTCCTCCTGGCATTTAAAGACCATGATGTCACCTTCCTTTCCTTTGTTCCTATCCTGCTTTATTTATATATATATATGTGTCATATATATGTGTCATCGAGGGAACTATCGATAGTATCGATATTTTACTGCTAGCCTCTACTATCGCCAGTTTTGCGACTATCATGATAGTATCGAGCTACAGTCGTTGCGCTTTTGATATGTTTGGATTGGCTGCTATAAAATACGAACACACTTTTGTAAACAAATCGACAGGTGGCATCTAATTTTTACAATGGACAAGTTCCTAAAGCCTAGTACTCAGATCGAAAAACTGTTTGCTAGCAAACAGATGTCATATATTTTTCGAGCGACCAGTGGTGTGACCAGAGGTGTGCACTGCATTCCGAACGGTTACACTGCTCGGACCGCTGCTTGGTTTTGTTTAAAGTTAACAAAATGCACTTCTTCGGCTGGGGCCGCTCTTCCCCAGGCATATCCTGGGCTCTCCAATATTTTATTGGCAAGGTTATGTGTCTGACTATCAGCAGCAGCAGATGGCGATCTGAGTACTAAGCTTTAACTGATAACGAATAATCCGCGAATATGTGCCTATGTATGTACATATACCAATGTATATTGTAAGCTTAAAATTTAAAAGCTTCGTGTGTACCGCAGCGGCAGCGAAATAAGTAACGTATTTGCCTTCGCGTCTGTTGTCTTCGCACACAAACACACTAAAGCATGCGTGTGTATGCGTGCGATTTTTTTCCTATGCACAGTGCATACGACGCTGCCGGCCCCTGATTTACATACACCATCTGCCATCTCGTTCTCATTCATGCGGCGGCTCTCAAAGACTATCTCACTCGCACCCATGCCGATGATGCTGCGTCTGCGCTGCGCTGCGGCAGCGAAGGATTACATTTGTGGGGAGAGAATGTTTCGCGTTCGCTGCTCAACAGTTTCCTGCCGTCACATCACGTTACGACACGAGCAGTGTTACGTTGCGGTGCACTTGTCTTACGTTGGAGATTGACGATTGACTGAAGAACAAAATACAAGTGACGGACGGCGCTTAAATAACAAGTTTTCCGCTGGTTCCCGCCACCTGTCAAAAAGGCGATAGCCACTTAGTGTTTTGCGTCCCTATCCTGTCGCGTCCGTCGTCAAATTCCGGGTCAAAGTCCTGGTTTGCTGTTTGGAGGCCCGGTGTTGGTTATATAATTCACGCCAAATCTGTGGCAGCCCCCAAACAAAGTCGTGCAGCGCAGCAGCAAAAGTAAAGGCAATCGCAAAAAATCATTATAAGTTCTATGTGTACATAAAGGATATCGACCTATCCGTCATTTAATCAGTAGTCACAAGGATATATCCATGACAGCACTCCCACACAGTACGCATAGCCCACCACCTGTCCCGTCCCACACCCCACACAAGTCAAACTAAACGAATTGTTGTACAAAAATCCATTAAAGAGCATTAGTTTAGTAGTCTTTTGGCTGTCGGGTGTGGAGTGTGGGTGTCGGAGTGGTTGATTGATTTATTATGTTGCCCAGTCACGCGTCGCACATAGATGTCAGGGCTGTGTACATACATATGTAATTGCGTGTGTCGAGTGTGAGGATATCCTTTTATTTTTAACGCATGGTTTGGCTGATTTCATTTATTGATTGCAAGAAAACTAATTGCTTACTTTAATTGAATAGGAAGCAGAAGGATGGCGCCTATTCAAGCACCGTTATCACCCGTACTTGAGCACTAACAAAAAAAGAACACTCACACAGACCCACCCTAACCCACCAAAGAAACAACAAGAACATCACCATCCCACAAGTGGGGGGGGGAGCATGAGCCGTTTTTATATGCAACGAAAATCACGATGAATGAATAATTAACGACGTAGTTACGTGAAAAGTCGTCCAAAAGGGGCGCGCTAGAAGCTGCATCAGTAAAGATCAAAGCTAATCAAAAGGGACAGCGCACTTTTACGTAGCACCAACCAACCCACACTCTCGCACGAGCACATAGAACGCACCCACACACACACACACACACACACGCACACCCAGCACCTAAATTTCAAAGGAAAGACAATACATACATAATACATACAATAACCGTTTCAAAATCACCGGTCAAATCATGGCCAACACAGCACAGTTATTGCGCCGCCAGAGCTCCAGGGACATTGTGCTAAAAAGTCAGAAGAGCATCGATCAGCTAGAGTTGCGGGCAAGTGGCACTGACGCTTCACATTTGACAAAATACATCCAACATTAAACTATCTGCTATCTGTTTCCCCCTGATTCCCGTTTAGGAGCTCCGTGGGCGCCTGGTTTCCAAGGAGCATGGCGTCGGCCACCACCATCACACATCGCTGCACCACCACCAGCCCATGTATGGGGCTACCAATCAAGGCTTCATGTCGGACGCCTTCGATGAGTCTTCAGAGCTGGAGCAGGAGCCGACGTTCGGCTCGGAGGCCAGCACCAGCAAGGCCAAGGCTGAGCTGGTAGCCACCGCTTTGGAGCAGCAGCAGGACATCGTTGAAGGCGAGAAGGAGGGAGAGGAGCGCGAGAGCTGGGATAGCAAGATCATGTTCCTGCTGGCCACCATCGGGTGAGTGAATTGTTAACCTGCACAATTCGATAGTAAGCAGAATACGTGATATATATGTACATACATATGTATATATTGATAGCCGATTTATAGCAGATTAAATATCGACGAGGCATCGATTTCATCCTTAACAGATATGCGGTGGGTCTCGGAAACGTCTGGCGCTTCCCATACCTGGCACAGAAGAACGGAGGCGGAGCTTTCTTGGTGCCCTACTTCATCATGTTGTGCATCCAGGGAATACCGATTTTCTACCTGGAGCTGGCCATAGGACAGCGATTGCGCAAGGGGGCGATCGGCGTTTGGAGCCAGGTCTCGCCATACCTGGGCGGAATCGGGATCTCCTCGGCGGTGGTCAGCTACATAGTGGCCCTGTACTACAACACGATAATAGCCTGGTGCTTGATCTATCTACTACATAGCTTCGAGTCACCTCTTCCGTGGGCCGACTGCCCAACCCGACTGTACTCGAACTACACGTACGACCATGAGCCGGAGTGCGTGGCTTCCTCGCCTACGCAGTTCTACTGGTATCGCACCACGTTGCAATGCTCGGAGAGCGTGGACATGCCGGAGAACTTTAACTACCACATGGCAATTGCGCTTATGGTGTCTTGGTTCCTGGTCTACATCTGCATGGTGCAAGGGATCACCTCCTCCGGCAAGATCGTCTACATGACAGCGATCTTTCCCTACGTAGTGCTCATCATCTTCTTCTTTCGTGGAATCACACTCAAAGGCGCCTCGGATGGGGTGGCTCACCTGTTTACGCCGCGCTGGGAGACGCTGCTCGATCCCGTCGTCTGGCTGGAGGCCGGCACCCAGATCTTCTTCTCCCTGGGCCTGGCCTTCGGCGGCCTAATCGCCTTCAGTTCATATAATCCGGCCAACAACAACTGTTATCGGGATGCCCTGCTCGTCTCGCTCACCAACTGTGGCACATCAATGTTCGCTGGCGTGGTAGTCTTTTCGGTGATTGGCTTTAAGGCCACTGCCACCTTTGACCGCTGCACGGAGGAAAGAAACGGCCTGTTGGCCCTGAATCGTACCCAGAATCTGCCAGTCTGCGATCTGCAGCGCGAGTTGGCTAATGTGAGTCTGAAGTGATGCGCTAGGATTAAACCCCAATTTTAAATTGTTTTTGTGTTATTTGCAGAGTGCCTCCGGCACTGGTCTGGCCTTCATAATCTTCACGGAGGCGATCAATCAGTTTCCAGGCGCACAACTCTGGGCCGTGCTCTTCTTCCTGATGCTCTTCACGCTGGGCATTGACTCGCAGTTTGGTACGCTTGAGGGTGTAGTCACCTCGCTGGTGGACATGAAGCTGTTTCCCAACCTGCCCAAAGAGTACATTGTTGGGGTAAGAAACTATACATATTTTATTGATTATTATTCGATCTACTATAACTGTGACTCTTCTTTATTGTTTTTCATCAGGGTCTGTGCGCCACTTGCTGTCTGATCTCTATGTGCTTCGCCAACGGAGCTGGAAGTTACATATTCCAGCTGATGGACAGTTTCGCAGGCAATTTCCCTCTGCTGGTCATTGCCCTATTTGAGTGTCTGTCGATCAGCTATATCTATGGAGTGCGACGGTTTTCGGATGACATCGAGATGATGACCGGCTCGAGGCCGAGCTTCTATTGGATGTTCTGCTGGAAGTATTTGTCACCCTGCGCCATGGTCACTATTTTGCTGGCATCTTTTTATCAACTCCTTACCGAGGGAAGCAGCTACCCGGCCTGGATTGCGGCCAAGGGCTCCACGGATTCCATGGAGTGGCCGCATTGGTGCATAGTTGTAGCATTCTTCCTCATACTCTCGTCGATCTTATGGATACCCATTGTGGCGCTGCTGCGGTGAGTGTTTGTCTCATCATAAATTGAATTTTTTATTACCCCATTTATTACCACCGATCCTACCCACCAGACTGTGTGGCATTAAGGTAGTGGAGGACTCCGATCCGGCCTGGTTCCCCGAAGCCGAGCTCAGGGAAGTCCACGGCATCGTACCTCACGAACCGACAGAACTGGAGCGCAGCATATTCTGCTTCAATATGGACGGCACGGAGGGTATGTGCTGCCCCAAATACGGACTGCCCGAGAAGTCCCTCGAGGAGGAGGAGTAAGCAAGGAAAGCGAGAAATGTAGACAACAAATGCCGGGGTCATCAGCTAGGGGGCATAAACAAAGAGGACAATAAGGACAAAGAAAATGAGGGCGAAATTGGAAAATTAACCATGAATTTTAATGTAAATATGGACAATAACTAAGCCACTAACTGATGTTAAAATGCGTCGATATCTACACTCCTAATTGGTCGCAAAGACTGTTCAACCGTTCAGAAAACCACAGCAGCAATTCAGAAAACATGTATGTATGTATTTATAAATACTCGTAACAACCAAACGGCGAGACGGAGAAAACTCGGCGCAGATGCGCGGTTTCATTAAAGTAGAAAAACGAAACCTATAGAAGTATTTCCGCATAACTTCATTAGCATGAAAATGTGTAGAAGTCGATGCGGCATAGGCATAATCATAATTATATGATTATTTTTTTTTAATTTCTTTTCTTTCGATTGGTTTCTGCTTTAACTTTAACTGAAAAAAAAGGGCAGAGATGTTTATGTATTCCGCTTTTTAGTACGAGTATGGTTATGATAACCTTTATGGGAGTTTATGTACATATCCGATTCGGTACATTCCATATTTGATTGCAAAAAAGAAAGAAAAGAAACTGAATGCAAAGTGAAATTGATTGTTTGCTGATATCAAACATCCAAAATGCAACATGTGACCCGTACTACAATAACTTGCTGACTATATCAGATATTTATATACATGAATATATGTAATATGATATGACTATAAATATATGTTTGTAACATGCTATAGTATAGGTTTTTTTTGTGTGGACAATACTTGATTTGACTCGATTAATGTTAAGCCAGACAGACTATGAGTTAACCATATCATGCGAGCATAGAGCACCACCTATAAGAGATACCTATGTATATGTATACACACTATATACACACTATACTCGTATATACATATGTAACTACCTACCATATTTCATTCTCTGTTGTGATCGGCTCTGCTTTCTGCGTTTGTTGTTATTGATGTTAATGTAATAATGTTGATGTTATGAGGCAAAATCATATCAGATCCAAAACTATGATTAAACTACACTTTAAAGTCTCAATGTTATAAAAAAAAGGGATGAACGGGAAGCTATCAGACATATTTGTTCTGTTTGGCTAGAACCGAATCTTATAGCAGAATAATTAATTATTTGTTGATAACCTATCATCGGCATCATGATACTCATTATGTCACTCCGCACCATTGCACTTATGATACACTCGCGAATTACATAGTTAAAGCCAACAGGAGAGATAGAGACACTACTATCTACATACATACATATATACATACATGCATATGGATATACATAAATACATATGCATACGCATATAACAAATCGAAATCGCAACCGTTCAACTAGCCCAGAAACGTAGGTGGAAAGGAAAGTTTATATATGTACATGTACATGCCATATATAAATATGTATGTGTAAGCACATCCATACATAACTGAAGAGGGTCTATGCATGGCATTAGGAAGCATTCGTATACCTACATACATCTATAGAAATCCATAGAATTAATGTGAGTTGAAATACAGTTAGCTATTGATTCCACTGTATTATAAATTGTACACTAATTTATGGTATATTTATAAATATAAATAAATTGGTATATACACATCTGCATAGATACATACAGATATATAAAAGAAATATATATATATATATATGTACATACGTACATCTACAAAGTTTTATTGATGTTGACAATAATGAATACGAAACAATACGAAACGCGTTTTAAACACAACCAATATACATATGTACAACTAACACGAACAAAATTAGACACACGCACGTTCTAATTCTCCGAAAGAATACAGCAACCCAAAGAAATACGAGTACAGAATAATTCAGCCCACAGCTCACGATATTGCCAAAATCTGAAAAAAATATTTACTTACTAATAAAAAATATATAAAAATATTAAATATTGTGAAGCAATAATGATTTTTCGATTCGTTTATTATTAATTTACTCGTCTAAAATACAAATTTAATATCTCATATGATCTCACTCCAATGTCCTGTGTGTTTGATATCAAAGCGTTAATTTGTACTGATAAGCGCTAATAATAATGGCACTTTAAATAGTTTATTTTTGTTTATTTCGCATCTCATCTTCAAAGCCATTAATATCATATAAAGGACAATAAATATTATAAAAGCGAATCCAAACAAAAAGCCTAATAAATGTACAATTATATATCAATTTAGAGAAAACTGATTCGTTTAGAGTGGCTTTTACTTAATAATATTATACTAATTCAAATTTAGGTTATAATATTCATATTGTTATTTATAAATTACTTTTCCAATTTGGTTCAGGCTCAGGTGATTACAAATTCGGTGCTAGTTGCTGAAGGAAGGGCACTGGCTCAGAAGGGGGTACGATATCTCACGAAGCGTACTACATAATGAAATACGAGAATTCTTTAGTTTACTCGTCTCGTATTTTTTTGTTTATTTTCTGAAATTTCTTTCGTTTGCCAAATCCATAATTGCTTTTGTGGATTTCGTGGACAGTTTTTTTTTCTCCTACCTCTTTCTAGCTTGTAAAGAACCCAAGAATCGTTTGAGAACTTTCTGAATGGCTTAGTGATGCTGGACAATCGTTTTCCAACTCTTTTCTTGTTCGAGTGTGAGTGTGTGCATGGGCATCTGTAACAGTAATCTGCATTTGTGCAAGCCTCCGCTAAACTTCTCCACAAACCTTGCGGCTGCAGCAGAGCGAAACCGTCGGAAACAAACCGTCCAAGTGCCGACCATTGGTCAATTGGCCCAAGAGCAGAAAGCTTGCTGCCTTAAGGCGGCAGTGTGGTGGTGCTGGGGCCTGATTCAAAGAGCTGCAGCAGCAGCTGCAGACGGCAGTGATAAAGCCTAGCCGTCGTCATCGTTGGACGTCTCGCTGCATAAAATTAGCGGTAAATTACAAGCTGCAATACCTGTAGCATGATGTGGCTATTACTTTCTGCATACTCGTACTCCAAGCTTTACATTCCGTTGATTGCACACACAAAATCGAAGTGCTTTTTCTTTTTTTTTTTTGTTTTCATACTCTTACAGAGGGAGGGCATTAAGATCTGTCCAGATGCCAGATCAATGGCTACACAAGAGTCGAGTTTATACACTACGGTTTATTTTTGGGCTTCACAATCGTTACTTTTGTGCCTCCACTCGCCTTTATATCTTCTTAGGCTTGATTTAGACCGCACGAAAAACGGTCAGAATGGGATTTCATATGGGATTTATACCAGCAACAGCAAGGTGTATTATTTTCGACCCTTGCGTATGTACACATACATATAAATAAAACCAGAAATCCATAAACTATTGCTCATTGAGCAAAGCCGCATTTAGGAAGTTTTTTTTATACCCGTACTCAAAAAAGAGTTAAGGGGTATATTAGATTTGTGGTAAAAGTGGATGTGTGCAACGCAGAGAAGGAAACGTTTCCGACCCCATAAAGTATATATATTCTTGATCAGCATCAATAGCCGAGTCTATATAGCCATGTCCGTCTGTCCGTCTGTCCGTCCGTCCGTCTTGATGAGCGCCTGGATCTCAGAGACTATAAGAGCTAGAGAAACCAAATTTGGTTTCCAGACTCATGTGATATCACACTGCTACAAGTGTATTTCAAAATTTCGCCCCGCCCCCTTCCGCCCACACAAAGGACGAAAATCTGTGGCAGGCACAGTTTTAAAGATACGTTAAAACTAAAAACGCAGTATCGTAGAGAATGCCCATATCTACCAGATTGCCGAATCTGAATTAGATCGGATCATAATTATAGCCAGAATGAAGAAATTAATTTTCAGTTGCTTCCCCTCCCCCTCCCGTTCCAGACAACGCAACTCATTTTCCTTCTCGCTCGCACACTCTGCCGCGTTCAGTGCGCGAGCAACCCCTAGCGGAGGAGATGTAGAATCTAATTGGAACATGTACAGTCTACATGTTAGATGTAGAATATACATTGTATATGTAGATGTAGATATCATATGTAGCAAAAAAATGTAAAATTTTTAATTCTAAAATTCTAAAAAATCATGCTCAAAAATGTATATACTGACTGAGTACGGGTATAAGTAGAGTCGCGTCCCCAGAAGCGACTCACACGTTCCTTCTCGTTTTTTTTGGATAAGCGGAAACTTTAGTTTTGTTCATACATAGTGTGTACATATGTACTTATATACACATGTATCTACTTTTTGGGTGGCGGCACCAGTTCGACAAAATCTTTGGCATAGTTTTTGTCCGCTCCCCAGAGTGAGAGGCAGAGGAAGAGAGACGCAGCGAAAAATGGAGCCGGAAAAAAAACATGCTTAATGCAGCCCGTCGATGTTGGCATCTACTCATAGCCAACCTCAGGCGGACGGCGGACGGCGGACGGCGGACAACAGATTGCGAACAGCGGACAGAGGCTGAGGCGACAACATGGGACAGCATTCAAAAACAAACAAATCAGTAGAAAGAAGAAAAAAGAGGTCAGCGTTGGGACCCGTAGCTGTTGATACTCTTTCAGATCAATCTTTATGAGGACATCATGTTTTAATACCAAATTTGACAAAGCCATAAAGTTCGATTTTGTTAGGTTTCCGATATAAGATCCAGAATAGATTCGGAATAGTTATCAATTAGGCGGTTCCCTATTACATGCATTTTTCTGAATTTTAAAAATTTGGATATAATCATTATAGCTTCTTCTACGGTAAACAAACACACAGGTAAATATTGAGATATGGTAAGGTGTGTATGTACATATGTATGTATGTATGTACATATGTACATATATGACGCAGGCGAAATAAATTAAATAGCTGAGACGAATGCCGCAAACAACAGCAGAAAAGCAACAGCAATACATCTATTGACGTTTATGTGGCCGACAGTGGCATGCACAGTGGGACACGAACGAGGAAGAAGGCTGGATGTGGAGTCGATTGCAGGTGCGGAGTGTTTAGCGAGTTACAGATAAATGGTAAATGACTGCAGATGACCCGAATTTTCTTCATAGACAATTTTCAAAAGACTATTTAAAGTGATTATGTAATTATCTGCCACTTGGCTATCGCAAGTGCTACGCCAGACAGGCAGACATCCGTTTTGTTGTTTTGTGAAATATAAGAAAAATCTGTTTTCTCTCAGTTTTAAAACACAGAATTGCGGGACTATTTTTTTTTTTTAGAATCTACTGATAAGACAAATAACATTAAGAAAAAAAAAGAAGCGAATTTATTGAAACGATTCTTATGCGTAGAACAATTTCAGCAGCAGTGATTGGCTTTTTTGGCCCGTCAGCGGCCGTGTTGTATTTGAGCATAGCCGAAACCAGTTTGGGCCACGCCAAATTCCACATTCCTGGCCACCTGCACCGTTCTGCCCCACTGTGCTGCCGCACTGCCGCAAATAATTAACTTTTGGCAACAAACGAGTACTACGTCAGTGAAGGCAGCAGCAGCAACAGCAACAGCATCAGCAACAGCATCAGCAACAGCAGCAGCAACAGCAGCAAGTGAAGACGGCGAAAGATATGGCAACGGCGACTGCGACGCTGCGCTTGCGCACGCAAACAAATTCTCAGCTCCGCATATTTTTCGCTTAAGTAATTTGAATGCCCTTCCAAAGAGTATACTGTTCTGCGCACGTGTTTGTGACACAAAATAAATCATTTTCGAATCTACATATATGTATGTACATACATACATACATATATGCCACGGGATATATCTTTTCAGACAAAAAGATCTTGAATCTTGAGAATTGAGAATCTTGGGAAGGCAAAGGGCATCCCAATTTCGGGTCGCAAGAGTTTATTTCATGCATTTTCAAAGCTGCTGTTGCGATGCTGCTTTAACGTTGCTGCCGCTGCGGCTGCGGCTTATTTTGTTTTCTTGAAAGCAAAAATTAAAAAGCAACAACAGAAACAAACAGCGGCACGTAGGAGAAGGAGAAGGAGAAGAAGCAGAAGCAAAGCAGAAAAGAAACAAAAATTGCTGGCACAACACGCCAAGCCAACTCAGCGCGACTTTGTTGCTGCGGCTTTCAGTTGCCAGCGCGATTTTGAATGAGTTGTACGCGGCGCGAGTTTCGAGTGTGGTGTCCATCGAGAGAGTCTGTCTCCCACGATCACGAAAGATCCCCAAATCCAATCCGAGATTTTCGTTCGTTCGTGCGTTGTGCGTGTGTGTGTTGTAAAAAGGCCCCACGACAACCCATACTATACCATCCCCCCTCCTCTTGGAGCACTTTAAAGTTTTTGGTTTAATTATTTTTTGTTTTTCAAGTGTGTGTACCGGCCACAAATGAAAATTGTGTGCAACAAGCGGCGAATGCAGTCCAACAGCAGCAGCAACAGCAGCAGCAGTTGAAACAACATCCCAAATCTATAGGTAAGACGCCTCACAAAACGACCGCTTCAAATATTTCCAAACTGGCATTCGAACCACAGCAACAGGCAACAGGCAACAGCAACAGCAACCATAAAAATAGCTGGGCCAACGCCAGGTTCAAGTGTAACCAGTTTCCAGATTCCACAAAAATAGCGCCGCAGGCACTGCGCGCCCAATATTTCAAGTTCCTCAGTCTGCTCCGGCTGCTGCTCCGACTGCTGCTGGGGGCTATTAAAATGTAAATCTTGTTCTTAACATTTCTGGCTCAAATGCTCTGTAACACCAGAAGTTGCGATACTAATTGACCTGGCCTTTCACAGCTTGACCCACTGTCAGTGTGCACGAGTCTGTCAACCATTTAAGTTCTCTTTCAATTTAAAACAAACATAGTAGGGAACAACAGCAGATCACGGGATATGAGGTGTCCTATCTCTGTCTCTGTATGATAGCCATGATTCCCCCTGATGTTAGTTTTGTGAAGATAATACGAGTACATATAAATCACCATAAATGCATCATCTAGTAGTGGTCGGTTGCACTTCAACCTGAAATCACTGAAATCACTGAAACGCCTCAGACGCTGGCTTTTAGAGTATAGAGTATATCATAAGGTATTTTGGGATTCGTTTTCAACATTCTTCTGCTGGTTCTGACTGCTTTTTGCGGCGGTGTATTGTGTGGCTGGTGTATATCATTATTGTGCTTATTGTTTTTTTTTTTTCTGGTTTCCCCCCTTGACGTTTTTGTTGTTGCTGTTGGCGCAAAGCTTTTACCATTTATTATGTATATTTGTGTGCCAGCACATCTTCGGCGTAAATGTCAAGCTCGTGCTGGATGAAGCTGTGTGTTGAGGCTGGGACTAAGGTTTCCTGAATCTGTGTATCTGCAAATGTCTATCTCATATGTCTATTTTGCTCCCACTCACACGCAATTATCGTTTGCTTATTTTTACTTGCAGCATTCGCACCGGTCAAGTGGAAGAACATCTGCACCAACCAAGCCCCTGCCCCGGAACCGGAAAACAGTGCAATAGAAATACAAATATTTTAAAATTCGGATATTGGATATTGCACCTTAACATACCGCGAGCTGTTGAATGTTATAGAACAACGGGGTCGGCCACAATAACAACGACAGCGATGACGGCACCAGGTAGTACTATGCTCGAGCTGGATCATCAGCGCCAAAGGCCGTTGCGCGGTATTTCAATAGTCATTGAATCTGCTCAACCACCAACACCAGCAACGGCAGCAACGCCAGCAGACACTACCACAGCTGCAACAACAATGAGCATCGACAGCAGCAAAATAGCTGAAATGTCGCTCAAGTCTCAGGCTGGCATGATGTTGGCATTTGGCGACAGCAATAGGACCAACAAAACCAATGCTGACCATACAACCAAAGATAATTTGGAAACTAGTTGCAACACAGAAGCGGCCACAGTAGCAGCAACAGCAACAACAACAACAGTAACCAAAATTTATCCACATTTGCTTGTGCGGATTGGCCAATCGGAGGACTACGCAGAAATTTCCCCAGCCACATCTACATGCACAGCAACAGCCACAGCAACAGCCACAGCCACAGCCTTGGCCACAACCATTATCAGCTGTAATAGCAGCGTTCTGTCAGCTGAGATCATGGATCCAGCTGCAACTGCAGCTGCAGCCGCATCTCCATCTCCACTCGCGGTTGGAGAAATTAAAGAGAGCGCTCTCCCCAACGACGTTGTAGTCGTTGCTAGTCAGCCATCAGCACCAGCACAAGCCGCAACAGCAGCATCTCTTAATGCTGTCTCGGCTGCAGCGACCGAGACAGTTGGCCAGTGCTCGCACCAGCACACGGTCAAGATACAGATAGCCAACGGTCAGAGCCAGCGTAGGCTTGGCAAGCAGATCAGTGTGGTTAAGCTGAACGACAGCGAGATGGTCCTGAAGAAGTACCAGAACCCGCACCAGCACCAGCCAAAGGCCGAGTTAACTAAAGAGGAGCAAGAGGGGCAGCAGCAGCAGCAACAGACACAGATTTCAGCCAATCTCACACAAAAATCTTTACAATCGTTGCCCAGCTATCAGCTGTGCTATTTGGTATCCAGCGGTCAGTACTCACCCTGCGAAACCCTCGACAGTGGAACGGGCAGTGATCTGGAGAGTGTCAAATCGCCGGGCAGTGAGATCAGCAATGTTCCCAAGCTGGAGCTGCACCTGAAGACAACGCGGGTGCGAGTGAATGAATCGCCCCAGAGCGGGTCCGTCGTGTCCATGGGCACACATCAGCGGGCGTACAGCCTGACGGATAGCGAGGAATGCGATGAGAGCAGCAGTTCCTCCCTGAGCTGCGATTCGCTGCACTCTGGGGAGGCCTTGCCATCCGTCCTGCTGCCCACCTCCCTGATGAGAGACATACGCGGTTTCGAACGGGAACCACCGACGTCCGCGGACACACTGATGATACCGACAGCCACAAAAATTGACGGCCGTCCGCTGCAATATGAGTCCGATCAGTTCTACACGTTCCACATCAACGAGCTGGACAATTTCCGCAACTTCGGGCGCGAACCATCAGCAGACACCACATCCACCTTCTCCTCCTCATCCCGGGAGTACAAGTTCAACGGTTTCCCGGGAGACGGAGAGGATACCTTCGCTGGCTATAGGGATGTGAGGGGTCCTTCGCAGTCACAGTCGTCGTCTTCGTCCACCATACACTCCGCGAAGGGAACGGTGCGCGGCGTCAAGAACCGTGTGCGCGATGGAGTAGCCACATTCTTGCAACTGCAGCAGACCAGTGTCAAGGTGAGTGCAACCCATCAAATCAATGAAAGGTTAGAGACAGTAAGATGGAATAGGAGAACAGATTAAATCCAGGAAACAGCTCGAACAAAATGGGTGTAAATAGTTCTGTGTACTAGTCGAAGTGTCGTGAGTGTTTTTAATATGTTAAAGGATCTGCATAACATTCGGGCTTTAAGTTCGTTGCCCTGGATCCACTCTCCAGTGTTCGTTAGAATGGTTTCCAAATATGTGTATACATATACGAATGCAACCACATTTGCATTAAGAATGGGAGATCTGTATGTACCTCCATAAATAAGTTTTTAACTTGATTTTCTGGTGCTGTGAAACTAAAATAACTACGAGTTTTATTTTACAATTTGTAGGTGATTCATGCAAACACTCACCCAATAGCATGTGGGTGTTGTATTCATTGAGAAAGTTTTTGGTTTTTGGTTTTGTTATGGATTTCTTTAAATTTCGTTTGTGTTTTTAACATTTGGCTTTGGGTCTTCAATGGGGATTCGGGGAGTTGGCGTGCCTTGGGTCGCTGACTTTAGCACCCACACATAAGCTGTGGATGCACTCACATTGCATTCAGTCAGCATTATGCAATGCAAGTTCCAATACGTACGAGTATATGCGAGGATTTGTTTGTTTGTTGCTTCGTTTGTCTATTTCTTGAGACGAATGCATGCATATTGTACATACATACATACATACATATGTACACAAAATAGTTTCGTTCACGTGAAAGTAAATCAGCTCGAATTCACGCGACTGCTTTCCCCCCCCGCCCAGCCCCATCCCCCAAAAACTAGGCATCAGTTTATAATATGTTATTTTCATTAATAATTTTCGAGAAATTTCTTTCTTGATTGCTGCCCAAAAGACAATTAACACCTGACAGTGTACATTTTTCTTGTTGGTGTAAAATATTGTTGTTGTTTTTGGAGTCTTGAGCCACCGTTAAGTGGCTTAATATGTCACATACGCCTCGAATTAAACAAACGAAAGCCAGTAAGCCCGCTTAGGGCTCTCATCTCTAAATGGGCATCTGCTCCGCTGCGAATGGAAACATACGAGTATTCGACAGCAACACCAATTGTATGTAGAAAGTTGGCGGAAGTACAGAAGCGGAGACAGTCAACCCGCCAAATAGTTGGATGGATGGATGGCTAGATATAGTAGGTAGGTAGAGTAGATGAATGAGCAGATAAGTTAGATAAATGTGAGCTTAAATGGTCCGCGGCTCGGTCAATTCCTCCCGACTAATTACATCTGTCTTTGCTGTCTGTCACTCACATTAAAGTTCACTTTTGATTTCTATTTCGATTCGGGTTTCTTCTCGCTGGTGGAAAGTTCTTAATGGTTTGCAAGAGTGGAGGTGGAGCCAGTTGCTTACTTTTGAACTGACCCATTTCGGGGACCGTAACAAAAGCGTCTCGAATTGCAGTATTAAACGGCATTGGCAGCGCTTAGCTCCAATGGCTCCCAAGCCTCAATTGTATGGTAGCCGAATACAGAGAAATACAAATATTGTAGCCAGTCATCGTTTCAATTTATGTACATATGCACATCGTATCAAATAGATATACATATGTACATTAGGGCGGGTCAGAATCGGAATTGAACAATCGGCATTACCCAGAATGAAGGAAATATGGTAGAAGATAGCTGTGATAGGTGATGGTGATAGGTGGAATTTCCATTTTTCACCGATCATTACCGAAAAATTCAAAGGGCGGCGTAGTACTAGATCAATTGGATATTAAGGAACCACTTGCAAAATCTGTAGTTCCCATGTAACTTTGCGTCTGTGCATTGTACTCGTGTGAGGGCTAAATTCGGCTCAGCCATTTCTGTAAAAATCAATTATCTCGTGCCATTTCGAAAGGGATTTGGCGTGTAAGTGTGGTTGTCATCGGGTCATTACATTTAGATAAACTTTCATTTTTTTTTGCTTTGCCTCTTCTGGCAGTGTGTCTATAAGGAGTTAAAACCAGATAGATGGACTTATACATACATATGTATGTACGTGTGCTTATATTTAAAGTCAAATTAGCTACATAAATGATATTTTAATGACTCCACTCCACACGATTTGAGTCGATACCAAAAGCCGACTTTCGGTTAAAAACTCGTCTCCGACGACTCTAAGGCAAAATGCAAAGGAACCGACATTGGCAGTGGCCCAAAAAATATGATTCGATCTGTCAGTTCAATATATCCGCTGCTTGTTGTTTTTGTTGCATAATTAACGTATTAGTCGCTCTTTAATATTATAATTTGTTTTTTTTTTTAATGTTATGCAAGTTTTGTTCGCCCGACTTAATCTGCAAAATAATTTCGTTTCTTTGACTTTTTCTTCCTCTTCTTTTTCTTAAATAATTATATATTGATTTTAATTTCAAGGTTAAAATTGCTAATTTGCCTAAGAAAAAAAACCGCACACACAAATTATTGGCTCGCATATATTTTGATGAGTCTCACAAAAAGCGGCGGCTCATAAAAAAACACAATTTTTTAAGAAAATGTTATTTCTATTTGCTACCAAAGTAACCGCAGCAAATTCAAATTCCAAATGAAAGTGAAAATGAAAATGAAATTTTACGTGACCGCGCTGCAGATCTATGGAATTTTTTGAGAAATCTTTCTTCCAGCCGGCCCGGCCTGGTCTCACATTGTTTTATGGGCATAGTGATCGTAGCAAGCAGCAACAGCAATATCTGGGCAATGCCGAGTACAATAAATATAAATAAATGTCTGAGCAAACATTTAAGCAACAAAAACAAGTGCGAATACGATAAAGGGCGTTAGCTGCATTTTAATTTCAATTTGCATTCAGGGCCAAAAGAAAGCCGAGAGAGCCGAACCAAGCCGAAATGGGCTTGTTAAAATATCCAATTATTTCCAAATTGAAGCTCGTTTAGGGCAAAGCAAACCTGAAAATCGAACACAAAACTGAAAATGAATAAAAACCAAAAAACTGAAAACAAAACCAAAAAAAAAAAAATCAAAAACGAAACGAAAGTGAAATGTTTCCACTTCACTCACGTACCTGTGTAAATTTATGCAAAAAAAAACGCGCGAGATCAGATAAAAGCTATAGCTGGGCGTGAAAACCCACTGGAAGACAGCCCTTGGCTCTACCATAACCATAACCATAACAGTAATGGTCGTATAGCACAAACAATTGTACGCTCCCGAAGACTGTTTTAAATACTGTCACCTCACTGATTGTTGGAGTTTTATTTCGATATTTTATTGAGTTTGCTCCAAAAATAGTTCAACGGAGTACTCATTTCTCACAATATATATCCTTGTAAATTAAATGTTAAAAAACAGAAGTATTTATATATACATATGTAGTTTGATCGAAATACATAAATAATGAATGTGCCTTACTTATAAGAGTTACTCGCATATCTTTCTTATGCACTGAGTATGTAAGAGTATTACGCAAAGAAAGAGTGAAAAAACGCCAACCAATTCATTACCATGCACAAAAATCGTCGATCGGAATCGAGTAACGCACTTTCTGTCTCCGTCTCGTCCGCCGTCTCCGTCCACGTGTCCGTCTGAAACAAAAGCTCACATAATGCATTGAACCGCTCATTATTTGAATTTTTTTTGTTGCCTGTAAACAGCTTTCGTTGAGTCCAGTCCATCTCCTTGAAGCCCATGTTCCTGGGTTCAGATCAAAGCTAACGATTGGCAAAAACCCCTCAGTGGTCTCTCCCTTCCCTTTTTTGGCTATCTTTAGTGACCTGCTTTCTCTTTCCTCTTCTTTCGGATATTTTAAGAAACGTTTTTATTAATGTTTTTATCTGTTCCGATGTTTGTTGTCTGCGATCCCTTCTCGGCTCTGCAAAAGTTGATTTTTATCACGTTAGCCATGGGCCGCGGTTCCTGCGGTTCACAGTTCACAGTTCAAAGCAGCAGTGACTTGTATCAAAGGCTTGTATTCATATTCACATTCATATTCATTACATTTGATGGCTTTGAACTTTGGTGGACATTGCTCATTTTGTTGATGTTAGACGAGCGACAAATGAGGCGCATTTAGTTGCCACTTGATGGCAATTATTAATGTACCAGTTTTTCATTTTCTTATGTCTCTCCCCCCACTCACTGCTGGCCATGTCTGCCTCATCTGGTGTGATGTTTCGTTATTAAATTCCATATATTAAATAACTGCCACCTGAGGCGATGGCGGAGCCCGCTTTGGCCACCTGCTTTGCTGTTGGCTCTGACTCTGGCTCCTACTTGGTCTCTATCTCTATGGACACTGCTCTCTGGCTGCCTTGGTTTCATGCAAGCGTATGCATAGAGAGTATTCGAGGCTGTTGACACCCTGATCAAGGCTGCGAACCGGTGTGGGAATGTCCTCGAACTAAGTCCATACCGGAGGGGAAAACTTTCGCACATTTCTGTTACAGACTTTGATAGTCTGTTCGTTGTCAATTAAGAAGGTGAGTGAAGGTGACTTGAAGTTCTTAAGGATTGCATCTATAAGTGTATATAATACAGTGATATAGTGCAGGATTATTTGTATCAATATCTAAATGACATCGAACTCTTGGATTCCATGAATATGTATATCTGTATATCTGGGAAAGAAGATACTCTACTGGAGTATACTTACAATATGAATTGATGTTAGTAATGGCTCACTCAGTCTCATTCTGTTTATACGTATTTTACAGTTTCCGTTCGTTAACCCTTAACTCACAGTTTTCACCCTGAAGTCAGCCATCGGGGAAAGGGTAGGGTATCGAGTAAGAAAGAACTCTCTGTTTAAGTGGGTCCCTTCAGTGAGACTCGCTAATCAATTTGGCAAAGCAAGGCAAGGAAACTGGCTTGGTGTTCAATTAACAAGTATTTCGCTTTGTCCAAATTGCTGCCTGGCATTTACCAAGCTACATATTTGTAACAACGATTATATCTGCCTGTACGAGTGTCTGTATGTTTCTAAAATGTGTACCATTATACGAGCAGAGGAAACGTTGAGTATTATAGGGGCCAAGATACAGTGTGTGTCTTGAACTTACTATGAAAAAAAATAAATACTGAAATGATTCATTTTGGATTGAGAAATGTTCTACGGTTTCCCCATTGAGGGAGCATAGTAATGTAAAGTTCCGCAGTCTAAAGTGTAGAAAAACAAGAAAAAATAAACCTCTAAGCGATAATACACAAATTCAAACACACATCGAAAAGTAAATAAAAGTTTTCCAAGTACAACATTGTTTTTGAACCATTTTCTTTCAGAATTTCATGGAAAAGGATGTAGGAAAAGTAGTTCTCTACACAACAAGCATGGGCATCATTCGGGAGACTTATGCCAAATGCGCGAACGTCAAACAGATTCTACGCACTCTGCTGATCAAGTTCGAGGAGCGCGATGTCTTCATGAGCGTCGAGTATCAACAGGAGATAAAAGAGCGCATGCACAACAAGACCATCCGAGTTCCACAGCTCTTTGTCGAGGGTCAGCACGTTGGAGTAAGTGATCCACGAATTTCAATATTTAAACAATAATTTTAAAAAAAATAACGTTCATTTAGGATACCGATACCGTGGAACGTTTAAACGAAATTGGGGAGCTTCGTCAACTGCTAAGGCCCTACAAGGTGAGCAAAAAAAAGAAAACATTACAATACAAACTGGTTTCTGATGAAATAAACAGTACTAACCTTTACTTTGCGTTTGACTTTATTTCATTTACCAATTTTTGTATGTTTTTGTAGTCCATCGCGACGGCTTATACATGCCAGACCTGCGGAGGATATCGCCTGCTGCCCTGCCCCTCCTGTAGTGGATCCAAGAAGTCGGTGCATCGGAATCATTTCACCGCAGAGTTCGTAGCCCTAAAGTGCATGAACTGCGATGAGGTGGGTCTGGTCAAGTGCCCCAACTGCTGATTACATATGTAAATTTATAAGTTGGCAGTCAAACCATAAAACCCTTTCCCCTCTCTTCACCCAAGCAGATCAAGCAATACTTGTATCTCTAGCGTAATGAAGTTTTTTTTTTAACTATATCAAAATGATTTTTTTGTGCGCATTTTGTTTGTCGCTTATTATTAACAGTTGTGATATTTAAGATCAGTTTGAGCAAAAACTGAGTAGCGGAAAGAACGAAACGAAACGGAACGGAGAGGAGCCCAAACGAAACAAAATCGATCCATACATACATATGTGAATCAAAGAAATATCGAATAAAACCATAACTCAAAATTGATTGCGTTTTTTTTGCTTTATGCTTGGCCAAAGAATCATGGACTGTGCGACATACGACATGTCGACTGTATTCCCACAATTTGCGATTCATTTGTAGAAAAAACTAAGCGAAAACCAATGCTTGAAATATACATACATTTGTATTACTAAAACCGCATGCAACATATATATATTGTACTAGGATGCACGCACTGAGCATTATTAATACATCGTACAGACAGGCTCCAGCTTTCGCTTACTTTTCATTTCATATCGCCGCAAATTATTTTAAATTTAAGAAAAGAGCGGTTCAGGCAAAAGTATATCTACGCAATTTTCTAAACTTTAAATTTCGATCAAAGCAACTCGAGTTATAACACAGATCTGCGTTACAGTGCTGCTTAACGAACTCAGCGTACAGTATCGATGACACACACAAAAATATTTGTATTCAATTAAGTCAGTATATTTACGGTATATTTTATCGATAAGTCCGCGGTCACACTGGTAGAGTCCATTGTAAAAATTATAGGCTGTTTACATTGGAGCTGCGTCATGCTTCTTTGCGTCTTGCCGGAGACGCAGTTTTTTTTACATAGGTTAAGCATAGGGCCCTAGTGGTGGCAAAAAGTTGCGTCAGTTTCTGATTCATGTGCGTCTATTCGATATATTCGATTGCTTTTGCTCATTGCCACTAATAACAACAAAAAATTGTAGATCAAAAATCAAATTTTGGCGCTAAAAATGTATGATTGTGCGAAAAGGTGAAAATATACATAAAGTCATTAAATAAAATACTTGAAACTGATTGTATTATTATCATATGAAATTTTTCTGACCCCCTGATGCCATTAAGACACTGCTGTAGACGAACTTCGGTGGTTTTCATAATTTGAAGAAGAACTCCCACAAACTCTACAATGAAATGTCTGAAAATAATATTTAAATATGAGAATCAATTCTTTTTCGTCCATTTTCCTGACATTTTGCTTAATTCTGTTGATTTTCAAAAATTTGTGTATCTTTCCTTGTCATCAAACACCCAAATCCAAATTCAAGACGCACGTCTTCCAATGTAAACGCCTTTTCTGCTTCATTGTGTCTATGCCGATATCGATAGCAGACGCGCCCAGTGTAAAAAGGCTATTAGATGCCACCTGTCGATTTGTTTACAAATATGTCTTCGTATTTTATAGCAGCCAATCCAAACATATCAAAAGCGTAACGACTGTAGCTCGATACTATCATGATAGTCGCAAAACCGTCTATAGTAGAGGCTAGCAGTAAAATATCGATACTATCGATAGTGCCCTCGATGGATTGACACCTTTACACACTGGTGACACGACGACAAACACGGCGAAAGCGAGGACCAAACAAGACAGACTTCCAGATCCCACCCAGCCCACACATAGAATTTGTTTTCATCTGCCAGACAGAACATGAGCAACGCCATCGATGAACTGCAAGCCATCATCGCCGAGCTGAAGACGGAGGTGGAGGATCAGCGGGCGGTCATCCGGCAAAGCCGCGATCGCATCGAACACATGTCCGCCGAGGTGGTAGACTCCAATCCGTACAGCCGACTAATGGCCCTGCAACGCATGAACATTGTCAAGAACTACGAGCGCATCCGGGACAAGACGGTTGCCATTGTGGGCGTCGGAGGTGTGGGCAGCGTCACGGCGGATATGCTTACGCGGTAAGGGAAACAGAAAGAAGTGAAAGTGAATTCCGAATATCTGTTAAATGGAGCTTTGTCTTGATTTTCTTTTAGTTGCGGTATTGGCAAGCTTATCCTCTTCGACTACGACAAGGTGGAGCTGGCCAACATGAATCGGCTGTTCTTCACGCCCGACCAGGCGGGTCTGTCCAAAGTGGAGGCCGCCGCACGCACCCTGACTTTCATCAATCCCGATGTGCGCATCGAGACGCACAACTATAACATCACCACCATTGAGAATTTTGACAATTTTCTGAACACGATTACTGGTGGCGGTACTGTGGCTGGCCAGCCCGTGGATCTGGTCCTGAGCTGTGTGGACAACTTTGAGGCCCGCATGGCCATTAATGCGGCCTGCAATGAGAAGTGCCTCAACTGGTTCGAGTCGGGCGTATCGGAGAATGCAGTCTCCGGCCATATACAGTTTCTACGTCCCGGGGACACTGCCTGTTTCGCCTGCGCTCCACCGCTGGTGGTGGCCGAGAACATTGACGAGAAGACTCTAAAGCGGGAGGGTGTGTGTGCTGCCTCTCTGCCCACCACCATGGGCATCACAGCTGGTTTCCTGGTGCAGAACGCCCTCAAGTATTTGCTGAGCTTTGGCGAAGTCTCCGATTACCTGGGCTACAATGCACTGAATGATTTCTTTCCCAAAATGACGCTGAAGCCAAATCCCCAGTGCGATGATCAAAACTGTTTGCTGCGACAGCAAGAGTTCAAGGCGAGGCCCAAGCCCGTGGTGGCCCTGGAGGAGGCACCCACCGACGAACCTCTGCACGCCAGCAACGACTGGGGCATTGAACTGGTGGCGGAAGATGCTCCCCCTGCCAATGCTCCTACCGAGCAGTCCAAGAGCACCGATGTGGGTCAGGGACTGCGTCTGGCCTATGAGGTACCGGACAAATCCAGCTCGGTGATTGCGCTGGCGGCCACGGCGCCGGTGGATGACACCTCTCTGGAAGATTTGATGGCGCAAATGAAGTCGATGTAAAGAAAGTTCACTGCATTCTTGTTATTTATAGATAATTTTGTACACAATTTGTAAATTTGATAATAATAATAATATTAATGTTTCAAAGCAGCTTGGAACCAAAAACTAAACATTTATTAAAGAAAACAGGGTATATAGGGTAGGGTATGTCCATGCGCAGGGTAGAAAGCAGGTGGGTGAGGGTCAGGCGGTATATTTTATCGGTACGTCCGCGGTCACACTGAAAAGCAGCACCAGCTGCTACTAGTAAAAACAACTAAAAATCTCGGCAAGCTGGAGAAGTGGAAGAGAACACGTAATTCCACTAAGAAGATGGACCCGCGCCACCGCAGTCCTGGCGGCGGCCCAGGAATCCCCGCCGGAGATGGATCCAACAAGTCGTCTACTGGTGCTGGTGCATCGCTAGCGGCTGCAGCGTCGTCCCCAGATGATAAGCCAACGATTCTGGAAGGTAATTCGCGATATACAAAGTGCTGTGAGAATCTCTAGAATGACACACACTTGGGCACTGGGCGTTTTTTCCTGGTGATGTGTTCTATTATGTCGTGAAGCAATGCTGAATTATTTTGATTTGGGTGGGGATACAGTATCTTTACGCCCTTGTCCAGGGCTATAAATAACACGACGCATTATCTGGGGCGCCAGGACAGTTCAGGACAAACACACACACGCACAGGTGGACTACTGTTCGTTTTTATTTTTAGGGGTGGACAGTTGTGTTGGTTGGGGGGTGTGGGTGGAGGTGACGGGAGAAAATGGCTTTGTTATCGCATGTCTGGATGTGTGTGTGTGCCCAACAGACCTGTTGACTTCCCCGCCTCTTACTCATGAAATTGGAGCAGTTGAAGCCATAGAGAAGCATCTCCATAACCTTTGGAGCCAACAACAATAGTATATCACAAATACACACAAATGTATTCATATGACGCTGCTTTGATTCATCGAGAATGTATGTATGTATGTTTGTGTGCGTTATACACCAGTGGACCTATGGGCACACGACTTTGAACCAGTTAGATTCCCATTGAATGAATGTCATGCCTTTCTTTGTATCTAAACACATTCCGGCTCTGTTCAGGTGTACTCCAAAATATATTCGACGGACTGACGGATAAAGACGAGCAGGTGCGGGGAGCCATGCAGCAGGCGATAGTCAAGATACTAGAGACGCACCCGGAGCAGACCACCGACATCCTCAGTAAGTACCGCGCGGATCACCCCAAGATGAACGAGCACACAGTTGTAATGCTTTTGGAGTAAGTAGTCCTTCCGTCCATCCCACAGCCTCCCTCTGTCAATAATCACATTTGTATACTCTCCTGCAGCTGTGTACGAAGCGTGGTTGGGAAGGATATCCCACTGCCCCGTGCTGCCAGCCAGAAACTGATTACCCTGGCCCTGCAGGAGCTGATACGGAGTCCGGAGCACGTACCACTCATTCAGAATCCCGCCCAGCGTATTCTCGTGGCCATTGGCAGGAGCGGACCTGAGGGCTGTTCCCTCGTAATGGACGCCCTGCAGGCCCAAACCGGGGGACCTGAGGGTGTGCCGCACTTCATGTTGATGCAGTGCCTGGGCCAGTTGGCCACAGAGAATCCGGCAGGCGTGGTGCCACACATCAAGACGATCTTGTCGCGCTGTCTGCCGCACCTGGGCGGGATAAGGCAGGACCACATTAAGCAGGCGCACGCCTATGCCATTGGTCGCTTCAGCGAGGCGGTGCTGGAGGAGGAACAGCAGCAGGGGCAGGACGGAGATGACCAGGCCATCGGCTGTTCCACAGAGATAAGTGTGGCCTACGACGTGCTGTTCAATCAGTGGCTCCACTCTAGAGAGCCAAAGGTGTGCGTAGAGATCCTCCAGGCGCTGTCCAGCATGTATCCGCTCCTGCCACGGGATCGCATCCAGGACCAGGCAGCGCGCCTGGTACCCCAGATCTTAGCCCTTTACCGGCGCAGTGTGGACCGCAATGCGGTGACACAGTTCCTGTGCTCAGTGCTAAAGACGAACCTATTACTGCACGCCCAGGTGTTGGACGGGATTATAGATGCACTCGTGTCGCACCTGTTCGACCTGGTCTGTGTTTACCCCGACTACGAGAAGCCGCAGACGGTGAAGGGTCATTACGAGGTGCTGCGCTGCTTCCACCTGCTGGCTGGCCATCCCGGTTACTCCGGCAAGATCATGGACACGCTGCTCATCCACCTGCGGAACAACAGCGAGCGGGAGCGGATCAAGTCTCTGCTTATCCTTACCCACTTCCTGAACACCTGCTCCGGGCACATTGAGAGCCGCCTGCCAGCCACCATCGAGTGCCTCAAGCAGCTCATTCTCAGCGAGCGCAGCGTCAAGATGAAGCTCACCCTGCTCAAGACGATTGTCGCGCTCGCCCAGAAGTCGCACATCCGGGACAAGGAGTTCGTGTGGTTCGTGGTGCGTCATAGCTGCCGCTACGGCAAGCTCAACCAGGAGCACGGCACCGCCGAGGAGCACGCCAACCTGGCGCTCAGCTGCGAAAACACCCTCTTTATGCTGGCCTCCACGGTGGGCACCCTTGACGAGCTCCTCAAGCGCGAGCTTCTCAACTATCTCATCCTGCTCGACTACACCGACATCTGCGGCAACCTGGCAAAGTGCCTGGCCAGTCTCTTCGCCAAGTCGCCTCACATCGAGTATGATATTGCCGGCGGCGAGCTGACCGCCGAAGCAGCTGCAGCTACCACTGAAGCGGAATCATTAGCGATAGCGACAGCAATAGCGGGCACTGGCGATGATCGGTCGGTAGTGAAACGCGGCAAAGTGATGGTACCCGGTGCGGAGTCGATATATGCCCGATGCTTGGCCCTTCTGGGTAACCAGCAGTGCATCAAGCGCTGCTCTAATATCCTCAGTTTTCTACGCTACTACCATCCGCAGCTGAACCCTGCACTGGATAAGCTTTGGGAACGCCGCATACCGGACCTCTTGCTGCACATAAACAAGGAGAGTGCGTACCGTCAGCAGCTGCACGACTTTGTCCTGGAGACGAACGAGTTCCTAACCGGCCTCGACGAAAACTTTGCCCAGCGATTGGCAAACAAGCTCGCGGATCAGATGTATCTGTATCCCATGGCGCTGCCACACTCAGAGTGGCAGCTGCCGGACGTGAGTGCCGAGCGGGGCATGCTGCTGCAGGCGATCGCCCTCACCTTGCTTCAAGTGACGGACGTTGCGTGCATCCATACCAAGATCGACATGATTGTGACCACCGCCAGGCAGGAGCGACTCGACAAGCACGTCAAGCATGCCGAGTACGAGCGGAGGATCGAGCCGTGTGCCCGCGCTCTCGGCTATATATCTCGCCAGCATCTCGGACATTTGATCAAGAAGCTGTCGGAGCTGGCCCAGGTGGGGGGACGCAAGCATTCCACGGGCTTCTTTAGCAACCTGCACTTCATCAAGGACACGCACAAGGAGCTGGAGAACTACAAGAGCAATCTGCTCGTGGTAAAGGCCTTCGGCCGCATCATGGACGAGGCCGATCCGCTGCAGTCGCTGCAGCACCTCGACGATGACACCATGCTCAGCTTCCTCATGCAGCAGCTGGCCGTGCACAAGGACCAGACCATCATGTCGGCCATCCTCCAGACGCTGCTCAGCATCTGCAATCAACTGATCGTGACCAAGGAGCAGCTTCCGGGACCTCTCAAGTATCGTAAGCAGATCATGGAGACAGTCTTCAGCATACCGATTGAGGCGCCCTTCCACGACTTGCCCCTGCTGCCCACCATCCTCAAGCTTGGCACAGACTTCATACGCATAGGTACGAATTTCACTTCATTCCTGATTTCCTTATTAATGCCATTTTTGGCTTAATTTCCAAAGGGGGTCCCGACACCGAAGAGTGTGTGGATGGAGGCGTCATATTTGAGATTGCCTGTAAGAACTTCTTCAGCTGTGCCCAGCAGCTCAAGATGAAGTTCGAATCGCAGGAGGAGGACGAGCGCAACAGTTTTCTCGCAAAGCATCTCAACGAATCCCTTCCGCAGCTCAATTCCCTTGTCCGTGCTATCGTCGAGCTGGATGCCTCGCCGGCCACGCTGGACCTCATCATAGGCATCCTCGAGAGCTGGACGCGCGACAGAAACTCTGAGGTGCGCATCTGTGCCAGCCACGTCTTCAACAACACCCTCGACGTGTATATCAAGTCGATGCGGATCGGCTGCGAGGCTCCCTCCAAGTTTAACCAGACGGGCCAGATGCTGGGGAAGATTGTGCCGCGATGCATCGACTCGAATGGAACGGTGCGGCAGGTGTCGGTGGAGATACTGCAGAAGACGCTGGAAATAGCCTGCATCTACGAGACACTGACTATAGCCAGCATCGACAGCAGCGCAGACTGGCTGAAGGAGATCGAATCCATTAAGGAGCACATCATCACGGACGAGCCGAAGCAGATCTACGACCTGGCCGGCGACATAGCCAAGGTTATAGCCCAGCGTATATCCAGCTTCCAGTATCTGCAGTTCTGGTTAGTAATCCAAATTTTCTATTTTTTATTCTGTCCATGCTTTATTCTCGCCCATTCCGACCATAGCAAGACTCTTCTGCTGTCATTGAGGGACCCAGAGCAGAGCTCCACCATTGGGGCCAGCGTTGTGCTGAAGTTTTTCATCCAGCAGAAGGGCTCCGAGCTCTTCCATGCCATTCCCGATCTCGTGAAGGACAGCCTAGTGGCCCTGCAACTCTGCGAGGTGCCGCGCGCTAAGTCCGGCGTCCTCAAAGCTCTGGTGGCCCTCACAAAGCACCACCCCAAGCTGGTCTGCGCTGAGATGCTCAGCCAACCGCTGCCATACGACGCCCATATGGTGGAGTACTGGCATCTGGTCTGCAGCGATGCCGACCTCACGGGCCTTATGCTGGACAACTTTTTGCAGTTGCTGAGCGGCGCTTGCCTGCACGAGGGGTCGCAGGAATCGACGCTGGAGCGCCAGCGTATGGCTAGCGTTCAACCATTTGCCATATTTTGCGCCCTACATGAGATGTTGCCATGCAAGGATATAAAAGAGGTTGGTGACTTTGTCAGACATCATCGGATCGATGGATTCCCTTAACGCACCAACTTCTATTTCCATCCAGCAACTCGAGCTGCGGTTCGCAGATATGTTCAGCATGCTCCTGACCTCGCTGAGCAGCTACACTAACCTGGCAGCCCCAAATCAGCCGGCTAACACCAGCAGCCCCGGTCAAGCGCAGACGAGCAAGTCAAAGTTCGGTTTTGTGCCCAACAAGGAGCTGATCAAACTGAATCCTTGCCAGATAGCCCTCGAGACGTTCCAGGTACAAGTCCGAAACTAAAGTGTGTGCTTACCCTGCAAAATTCTGTTGTTTTTCCCCCTTTCTTGCCATAGGCCTTTCTCACCAATCTGGAAATGGAGCAGGTCGCAAATGTGCTGACCGTGAACAACTTGGCCAGCAGCGCGGACTGGCACAGCTACATCGAGCTGCTGACCCCCATGGCCATCGGTTTGGGCCACCAACTGCAGCTTGGAAGTCCGCAGATGCGTCAGCTTGTGAATTCGCTGAGCAAATACGTGGCCTCACCCCACGACGGGCAGCGTGTGGCTGCTGTCGGACTGTTCTCGCGCCTGGTACCGCTTAAGCCGGGCGGGGAGATAGCCAGCTGCGTCATGATGCACCTCGGGGCAGCTTTAAGCGACCCAAATCCGGTTGTGCGTGGCCTGAGTATTCAGGGAATGGGCTTTGTGGGCCAGTCGGGGAAGCACGAGGCTATTGCTGCCCTGCTAAAGGGCGTGGACAACCCCGTGGGCGATTGTCTGATCAACATACCACTGGAGAGCATGCGTGGCCTGTCCACCATCCTGCAGGCCTTGCCCAGCAGCCGTGTGGAGTCCTTCCATGTCTCTCTGGCTATACGTATCCGGCCATTCTTCGGCAATTACTCACTGGAGATGCGCGAGGCGGCGATAATTCTGTTCGGCGACCTGTGCGAGGGAAAGCACGACGATGGCAGCAGCTCGCCCAGCACCTCATCCATGGAAGCCCTCCGAGAGCAGCTAATCGCCAATCTGTTTCCACTGCTTTTGCACCTTAGCGAGGTCGAAGCGGCCATAGTTAGTGCCTGTTGTGGCACCCTGCAGCGTGTCTGCCGCTTGTTGAATGCCCCGCGGGTCCTGGATATGGCCCAGCAGCAGTTGGGCAAAGAAAATGGCCATAAGCTCAGTTACAGCAGCTTTGTGGTGGATTTTGTTAAATTGATTGTGAGTGGATTCCTTTCTATTCTCTTCATATTTGAAAGCCTTTGTTTTTTTCTTTGTCTGCAACAGGCTATGGAGCTGACTGAACACATTCAGGACTTCATCGACTCGTGCATGCCCAAGCTGCGCAGTCAGTGGCCTGAGGTGCGAGGAAGTGCCGCCATTGTGATTGGTAAGTGGTGGCGAGGCGAGGCCCGATTAACCCGCCTTATGCGTGTATTACTGAGTAACGATCTCTTCCAGGCATACTCCACAATTTTCTAAGCGAGCGCAATGCCCAAACGGAGGCGGTGGCCAGCAAGATGTCCGTTCTGCTTAAGGACGAGCAGGCGGGTGTACGTATACGGGCGGCCACTGGCCTGGCATACTTCTTCGGCGACATCTAGAGGGACCAAATCGTTTATTCATTACTATATGTGTGGATATAAATTTATATTTATATGTATGTTTATATATATTATGACTTAGTATTTCTCAAGTGTGATCCTCCCGCCTGCGCCATGAATTCCCGGCGTAGCCTCATTAATGGTTTATATTGCTCCTATTAGGTTGCAACTATTATGTTTTATAATTAACTTTATGTTCTGTTATCCAATCGAAAATCACGTTATATACTTACTATATACATATACAATATAATATATACAAATATTTATAATCATGTTCATGAAATACGTCTTTAAACTTAATAATACCCTACAGACGAAGTAGGCAGCGGGACGCGGTCAGAGACGAAACCTAGGTGCAGTGAGATTTGAAACCCCGAGAGCGCACTCATTCAATGTCTTGGTTATGGTCTTTGTTAATAGTCTCCAGTTCGAAATGAGCGAGTGAGAAGATCGAATATAGCGATGATGAGGGAGAGGGAGCACACCGATTGAAGGGAGGCAGAGATACATGCACATGTAGATGGAATGCACTGAACTGGATCCCCTCTACCTGAAAAAGTCAATTGGAACGACGAGCCGATTTCCCCAAATATATCGTAGGGCCTTCTGTGGATAAATCTAGTCGGATCCATTGATTATTGTTGCATTGTGTTTCCTTCAATTTTATGTACAATGCAAAACGACCATCCTGAGAATTCCCCATCGTTCGTTGCATACAATCAATCGAAGGCATAGTACTGAATCCGCTATGGACAATACTTCCTTCTCGTCCTTACTCGCTAGAGACGGAGGGAAGAAGAGGTTCAGGTGTCAGAATATATAATTTTTTAACTGGTTTTAGGTGTTGGCAGTCAAGCAGCCGCCAACCTGTTGCTAACTAATTTACTCTTGGGCAGCCGCTGTTCCACTGTTCCGATGAATTGTGTAGCTCGCTCTTCAGGTGTATCCAATTCGGGAATATAATTGCGGTGGATCGGCGGATCCGACTTGGCGGAGAACGGCGGGCATTGTTTCAAATTGACCAAGCACTGTCATTTATGTCTGTCAATTTCAATGTAAGCCTAGCACGCAAAACGGTTTCCGGCCACACTGGCAGGAATATTTTTATTTATGGTATGCCTGAATGCGATTTTAGTTGCCACAAGGTCTTGGCCAAACAGATGTTTACTTACAAACATATATGTACATATGTATGTACATAAATACAATGGTATCTGTTTTGAAGGGAATTAAGCATTGAATGAATATATCAACTCTAAAAAAAGAATACCGGTTTTATTGTGCAATAAGTGGAACAAATCTGGCGGTCACCTCAATATGTTTTGATAAATATGCCTATGATATATTTAGGAGCTACATATCTGAAATCGAAGCTTTTTCTGGTATTTCGTATTGATATTTTCAATAATTCGAATAGCCCTGGTGGGACTCAAATGATTTAAATCGTTGACCGTTTATAAAAGTGTTGCATACTTTTGAGTGAGGCAATTAAAGTGGAAAATCAGATTCAATTGGTGCTCTTAGAGGGGGCTTAGGCACACTTCATTTTGGTATATCATTTAAATTGGAACAGAATTTTGGCTTGAGGTCATGTTTCGTCCCCTGTTAAGAGATACATGAATATGTATTTTAGATTGACTCTTTGGTAATTAATTCGATCAGAATTGCTCTCAGTTTTTGTCAGGAGACTCTGTCGCAATTGTTAGTTGCTTAATTCGAATTTAGGTGTTACGTATCAGGACTGATTTAATGCGAAAAAATATTATGTTTGGACATAAAGGAAAACGCATAATATAATTTGTTCTTGCCGATGGATAAAAAAGGGGATGGAAAGTTGCAATAGTGCACAAAAGAAGTTGTTGTAAGCTGCCGGAATTTATATTGTAACTTAATTATGCACATATGTATGTATGTACATATATTTTAAATTGAAAGAGTACTTTTTCCTCTCAGTTTCTTTATGAAAAAATTCGACCTGCAAAAACCACGAAACCCAGAGTCATGAATAATTATTTGCAATTATAATAGACGGGATAGTTAATTTCACTATGTGCTATGCATGGGGACAATCTCGTTCGTCGTTTTCATTTCCAACCTCCAGGGGATCGCACCTCGTATTTGTGACATTGACAGGCAAACGAGGAGGAGGAAACGGTTTCCTTTTGTCATATTTTTTGGCACTTTATGGGCCTGCAGATACGACATGCCCAATGACGGTGACTTCTTTATAAGTATTCTCATGGTTGTATTCTTTGGGATGGGATGGCATGGGATGGGATGCGCATTTCAAGTGTTTAGCGTTAATCGTTTCCTTCGTCTTCGGTCCAGAAGAAGCAAATTGATATGCGTTAGTGTTCGCTGGTACGTTTATTATCCTTTGCCCGCTCGGGGTAGGCATTTTAAAGCGTTTCACGTCGGTTTTGCCACTTCACTGAGGGTTCGTCGCATTCTGCCTTTACTCAAATATCACTTCAGATCGTCTGTCCCGGTGTCCGCTGTCCGTCTGTCCGTCTGCCCGTTCGTTTGTCTGGCTGTCTTTTGTATCTTTTTTTAAGACAAACTCACATGTTGCTCAGTTGTGTGCCCATTGCCGTAAAAATCGAAACTCTCTCATCAGTAGGGGGTCGCGGCTGCTGATTGGAGATTTTCCGTAAGTGCATTCAAGTATTTCAACCAAGCAATGTGGTATGTGTGTGTCCTGCCTCTTTCCTTAGATATTTAGTTGAACCCTTCGAAAATACTTCATTGATTATGTTAATATGAAAATAACCCATCCCCTACTCCAAATTTTCTGTCTCTCTTTGTCACTATCTTTTTCCCAACCGGCTTTATCGCTGGTACCCTTCTAACCCCGGCTGTTTATTGTTTTAGTCCGGTTTCTTCATGCCCTAACCCAATGACCAAAGATTTTCATAATCTTTGAATTGTTGTCAACGGTTTCCCTTCGCCGTCGCCTTCCCCTTAACCTCACTATCTCCCCCGACTTAACTCAGGCTTTTCCCCCACTCACAAACACAGACACACACGATCCCGTTCCAGTTCCCGCTTCACACATAACCCATGGAAAATTTCGGTTTGTTCTGCGCTGTAATTATATATGTTGATCAGTTTTCAATCGTTTACATATAAATTTGTGCATTTTCAGTTTGTGTGTCATTCTTGTTTTCTCTTCATTCTGGTTGGGTTGAGGCTTAGAGGTCCGTCACCCTCGATTTGCATACATACATATGTGTGTTCATATGTACATACATGTGTAATACTTATGGAAAAGCATGCATACGCCGTTTGTCCTCATTGCTATGGGAAATTCATTAATTGCCTTGTAAGGGCTCCCCTCCCCTTTTAATTATACTTTGTACTCCGAATATTTTTTATCAGATCAATAAAACTAGACCAGACTAAATTTGGTTCATATATTTTTAATCGCTATCGCTTACAAGCAACATAACATAACATTGAGTCGAATTTCTTTCGATATATGTATGTATCTACCCCCGAAACAAAACCCGCACACAGACACGCTACACACACACAACTGCCCATTCATGTCAGGAGGATCAAATCATCTGTGACTTTTCAATGACTCGGGGCCAATATTGTATACAGTGCAATCTCAAAAGTTAGAACCGCAATGTTCCTCGGGTTTTTTTTTAATTTATACAACTTTTTAATTTGGAATTGTTTTAGTAATATTAAAACTATTATTTTGACCTTCAGTTTATAGTATATTTAAACGACCGGTTCTAATTTCTGGACATTTAAAATTTGGGAGAGTTCTTATTTGTGGGATTCCACTGTATGCCGTGAAGAGCTGCAATGGAATTTGGATGCCATGTAAGTGGATACTTGGACAGCACTTTGGGCTGTCATTTGTTTGTAATAAATAAGGAAAGGGATCGCTCCCATTCCCGATACCAGTCCCGTTACAGCCAAAGATCCGTGTGCCTGGAAAATAAAGCAATTAAAAGTGTTTCTGTCACTGCCCGTACAGCAACTAAAAGGAGACACTTGTAGGCGTGCCTTCCGTCCAATTCACAGTCGACAATAATAATAAAAAAAGGAAACGCAAAATACGAGTATAGCCAACACATGGAAGAGATTCCAATGCACTGAAATAGACACTTGAAACTGAGCTGCAGAGACTGACGACTGACTACTCCTCGCCCAGGGAAAAGCTCAATACAATGAATGCATTTGCATTTTTTTTGATTGAAAGTCTGCAGAGACTGAAGTGTTTTTTTTTTGTCCAAACTGAATGCGGAACAGGCGCGACCTCCTTCCGCAGGAGCTGAACCAACTTCCTCTTTGAGGCCAACAACAGAGACAAAACAAAAGGGGAAAATTCTGCCCATCCCATTCGCGTCCTCAGCGATGCCGTCGCGAATTTATAGCTTTCATACGCAGATGAGGAAACTGAGTTGGAGTAGGGGAGAGGATGCGATCAGCCATTGCCGGCAATCAGCGCCGCTCCCCTCGGTTCAGCTCAGATCAGTTCGGTTCGGTTCGGTTAGAATTGGATTGACTCTCCTCAGCATCAGCTTAAAGCTCGACAGCACCGCGACTGACTCGGCCGCGGATCTTTGGCACATAAAACATGTTAATGTGGCAAGCTGCAATATTCAGCGACGTCGCAGCCATCGTCGTCTCATTCCTTTCGATTTGCTTATGCTTGTTTTACCCTTCCACTAACTGAAGCTTACGAATTTTATTGTTCATTTGGTAAACTTCACTTAGATGGGAAATTAATCAAAACATTATCCTTCGCTTAAGGAGCTAACAATCAAAAACCGATTAGGATATTCAAATTAAACACGGTTTTAGTATTTCTCGACTTTTGAGCTTAATGGCGGGGGCTGCGTTCCTTTGGATAGGGTATGTTATGTACTGTACATATGTACATATTTATGTATGCATGTGTGCTTCCTTTCTTTCATTTTTTTTTTGCCCACGAACCGGACTGCGAAACCGAAGCGAATGCCACAGCTTCGTCTCTTGTCATCTTATTCTTCTTGTGCGTGAATGTATGTGCGTGAATGTGTGTGCGTGAATGTGTGTGTGCTTACAACATAATTTTAATTTATAGCGTCGGCATTTTAAGTACAGTTGTGGTTGCGAAAGCAACAGGCGTCTGCGTCTGCGTCTTCGTCTGCTCAGATATGGTACGGGTTGA